TAAGCACTTTATATGCATTAATGCAGATCTCCACCATAATCCTTTGATCTCACTTTACAGAGAATTAAATCCGGGCTGAAAAAGATTAAGTATGCTCAAGGCCACCGTATTTGAAATTAAGTCCTAGTCTTTCAATGTTTTCTATTTGTTTTTGTGGTTCCTGCAGTCATTTGTTTGTCTTAACCATACTTAAAACATACTTCGTGGCTGACTTGTCACCGGAAGACTTTAAACAGAAGATATATAAGGAGATACTTGCAGACAGGATTACAACATTAAATAAAATATTGGATTGAATGCCTTCTAAATTCTCTTTCGGATATAAGATTTTATATGAATAATTAAATCAGACTGAGGACAAATAGGCAGTGCATCCTCTGACATCATGCTGGCAAAGTCAGCACTGTTTCTCAGCCGTCCACAACCCACTGGCAGAGCAAAGTGCCGTTTGGCGACACAATCCAGCAGCTGGCTTGAAATGCTGGCTTATGCTACGACAGGCAGAGTCATGGTTTTAGATATTTTGTGAACGTTTTACTTTCCGTTGCCAATCTCAAGATAGGTAAAGATCTAAATCACTTGAGAAAAACAAAGGTTGACAATTAAGAAAGATAAAAATCATTAGTAAACATTAATAAATAAATTATTTTCAAACTAGCATCCTGACAGTTAAGGCTCAGTAATCCTATATAATAAAGAGCTAATATGCTAATTAGACTGACAGTGGAACAACCTTCTGGAACGACCAGTGGACAGGGGGCCGGGCTGCGGGGCTGTGAGGGCTGAGGCAGCCGGGCTGCGAGGGCTTACTCTTACACAAATTTTGCGCATCGGGCCTCTAGTTTATTATATTGTCAGTTGAGCAACATATTTTTTTGGATATAAGAGAACATAAAGAAAAACTCAAGACATTTAGAAAATCATTATTTTGAAGGGAGTCAAATTCCAAAAATAATTTTATTTAGAGTTTACTTTGGGTAATAAGTGATATAGTGTTGTAAAGCTTTAAGCCAATGTTACAGAAAGCATTTATTTTACTAAATAATGTTGTATGTATGCTGATTTTTCATCACCTTTTAATACAAAACCCTCTGTGCATACTCTTCTCTGCCAAGTGAGAACAAATTTATCTACATATGTGTTCTTGTAAATATGAAGCCAGACTTCATGCATGCAGAACAAAAAGCAATTTTCAGAAAAATGTACATCATATTATTAATTGCTACATATTTATTTTTCTCTTAAAAATGTATTTTGGACATTTATATAACCACTAACTTCAGTGTAAAGACACAGATCTTGCACTAAAATTGATTGTCCCTAAGCCAGAAGCTATAAAACATTCAGTAATTAAGGTCCTATAAAGACAGCATGATTGATAGAGAATGCAGGTGTAATGGATTCTGGAGAGCATAGCATTGATTCTGGGGTCAAAAACATTAAATACCACTCTGGCCAGCCGCTCAGTGGTTAGAGCACGGGCCTGCAGACCCAAGAGTCTCAGATTCGATTCCCAATCAAGGGCACGTGCCTCTGTTGCAGGTTCCCCAGCCCAGGTAGGGACACGTGCCAGAGGCAACCAATCAATGTGTCTCCCTCACATAGATGTTTCTCTCTCTCCCCGCCCCCATCTCTCCCTTCCATTCTTTCTAAAAATCAGTGGAGAAAATATGCTCAGATGAGGATTAAAAAACACACCAAACAAACAAACAAAAAAATTTAATACCAGGATGGCCTGAGCTCCAAACAGTTTTTAGCATAGATCTTATATTGTTTGTTTATCTTGAAAAACTAGCAAACAGATGAATGTCAGTCATTCCAGTTCCCGCCTCTTGCTCAGCTTTGGCATGACTCACTACACTACAAACATCAATCTACTGAGATGACCCCAAAAATGGGGAGACCCCAAAATTGTCAACCACTTCTCTCTCCTACAGTAGATTCTACTAAGACCCTAGAAAAGGAAAATAAGTGGGGCTTCTTTCTTCAGAGTAGGACTCTCAGATTTCAGTTCTGCCCCTTGTCAACCAAATATAAGGACAGACAGAAATTAAAATAAGAGGCTTAATTCTCCTGTTGAAAATAAGGGAAGATATAAACTGATGAGCAAAAAAATAGATACAGAGGCAGAGCAGCATTAAACAGACTGTCAAACTACAGCAGGAAGGCAGGGGAGGGCTGGGCGGGGAGGGGGTAAGAGATCAACCAAGGACTTGTATGCATGCATACGAGCATAACCAATGGACACAAGACACTGGGGGGTAGGGGAGGCTGGGGAAAGGTCAAGGGGGAAAAAAAAGGAGACAAATGTACTACTCTTTGTAATATTTTAAGCAATAAAAAATAAAAAAAAGAAAAGAAGGGAAGAGATTTCCCATCCTCTGTTCTTATAGCATTTGCTTTAGAAAACTTATCATTCTGAGTACATTCTCCATTCTTTAAAATGCACGTAAGTCCTTTTGAAAATGATTGGGGCATTTTGTCAGCTTTAAGAGCCAGGAAAGTCTTTCTCAAGGACTTGAGAACCAAGTAAACATCCACGTGAGATAGCACCCCTTTCTCCTAGTTTCTGAGAGGGGATAAGAGCTAACTTTAGCCGATACCTGACTCCAAGTTGTAAAACTACCTCCTGTCATAAAGATATGAAAATCTTATTTTTCCTTTGTGTAAAGCCAATTAACTGACAGATGGTCACCCCACTTACCAGGTGATAAAGAATAAACTATATGTAATAATACATAGTACTGTCAAGCCCTCTTACTTGAGGATGGATTGAATGATTACCTATCTTGAAAACATGTATATATAGCTATATGAAGGGTGAGATTTTTTTTCTGATGTTGCAATCTCTTAGCGATTATGATGCATATCACATTCTGGTTTAATGCTTATTCAGTAATGAAGTTGTTTTCTTTCTCTACTGCTTTTGTGAAGAGGACTTCTGAGTTGATAGTGTCCTATTGGTATTGTTATATTTCCCCCACACAGACTGGGGTTTACAACACAGGAGAGTCATTTTGACAGTGTCCTTGCCTACCTGCATGGTGCTATCTATTCGAGTGCTCATATTAGGTGTCTTTATAAGACACATTTACCCTCTGTACAGTTGTTTATCAAAACATATGAATCTTCTTTTAATTAGAATTTATTCCAATAGCCTTATTCCAAGTTCTTCCTGAAATTACAACCTTGAACTCTTCAATCTGAGATTTATCAAAGCTTGATTTTGAAAAATAATATTTAGGATAATTGCCTAAAGGGAATAGAGTGAGCCTATTCTTCTTGATAATTTCAATTTTATCCTTGAATCAAACCAGAAAATGAGACTGGCTTCCATGGACAAGTCACTTAATTTCTTTTTTCTATGTTGTCATCTGGAGAATAAAGATAGAGGAATGAGATGCTTGTCCCATTAGATTAGAACTTTAGATATCAGTGGAGATTCTGAAATTCACAATAAAATGAGCACAATAAAAAGTTTAGACACACCAAGGCAGCAAATCATTTATAGTCCCCTTCCTAGCAGAACTGTGATCTTGCCAACCCTTAAATGTTGATCAAAATTTGCAAAGAGATGGAATAAGAAAACGGATTTGCCAGGTGTGTGTTTTGTGTTGATCAAAATTTGCAAAGAGATGGAATAAGAAAACAGGAGACGGATTTGCCAGGTGTGCGTTTTATGGGCAGTTAGTAAATGATTAGCTCTCAAGTGGTGTTAATAAAAAGTAAATATGAAAGGTCAGAATCAAATGCATCTAATCATATTTTTGGAAATCAATTGACCCTCAAGTTAAAAATAAAAGAGGCCAAGGGCCACATGTTCCAGTTGATATGAAAATGGTGGGTCTGTTTATATCTCATTCCCCAGTACAACTTTCACAATTAAACCTGTAGAAAGAGAAGTGGGTTACAGAGTGGTGGTCGATCAAAGAGTTGCTGAATTCACAAGACATGATGGATATAATCAGAAATAATTATTGCTACTAGAATGCATTTTCTTCTGAGTAACTCTACTAAAAAGTCATTTATCTCAGGCAGGGAGTTAGCTTGAAATTAAATGGTGTTAGCTATATACCTTCTTGGAGATTGCTGCATTGGTGTGAATAATTGAAATTTATGAAAGTGACCTTCTTTGAAAATTGATCAGTCAGCTGACCACAACAGTCAAATCAATTATTTTGGAATCTCATCTGCTTGTAGAAGGATTCATCAATGACCAAATATTTTTTAACTGCCTCATAAAATGCTAAATAAAACATTCTTTGGAGCCTAGTGGCCCCCAGACTCAGCTTGCACCAAATGCTATGCCCAGCCTTAGCCTAAGTATTTTCCAAACCTGTGTGGAATACATAGAAAACCAAAACAAAGTATTAGGTGTTCCTAAATAAATTATAGTGAATCTCAACAGAGAACAGATCTTTCAAAATTAATCTACACAGGGTAAAGCACAGGTTAAACATTTATGGCAGATCAGAACATGTGGCCCACGTTTTATTAATTCAAAGCATTCCCTGAAACTATTTTTTTAAATATATTTTATTGATTTTTTACAGAGAGGAAGGGAAAAGGATAGAGAGTAAGAAACATGGATGAGAGAGAAACATCCATCAGCTGCCTCCTGCACAATCCCTACTGGGGATGTGCCCACAACCAAGGTACATGCCCTTGACCGGAATCGAACCTGGGACCTTTCAGTCCGCAGGCCGACGCTCTATCCACTGAGCCAAACCGGTTACGGCCCTGAAACTAATTTTTATGTTTTATTTTTTTAATATTGATTTCAGAGAGGAAGGGAGAGGGAGAGAGAGATAGAAACATCAATGATGAGAGAGAATCATTAATCAGCTGCCTCCTGCACACTGCCCACTGGAGATCGAGCCCACAACCTGGGCTTGTGCCCTGACCAGGAATCGAACCGTGACTTCCTGGTTCATAGGTCAACACTCAACCACTGAGTCACTCCAGCAGGGCTGAGACTAATTTTAAAATAATTCTCCTGCTTTTATTTTCAAGTTTTTGTTGCCACAATTGATTTGATTGGCTTTCCCAAACCACCAATGAAGAAGCTTGAATTTGAGGATCTCAACTCTTGTTGCACATTTGAATCACCAAGATTTGAAAACATAGCAACCAATGTCTTTGTTCACCTCCAGAGCTTCTTGATTCAATTTGCCTGAAGTGGAACTGTGCTCTTGGAGTTTTTACAAAGGAGGTCTTTATGTTCAGCCAGAGTTGACAACTACTGAACTAGATGATAAGTGGAATTGTTTTGAGTTAGTTCTTTTTCAATGTACTTTATAAGTCATATGACTTATGAAAACAATGAACAAGTCAAATCAGATAAATCTGATGTCTGTTTGTTTTAAATGAATTACCAAGCTAATTTAAAAAAAACTAGAATCTTTAAACAGCATAATGAAATACAAGAAATGTGAGTATGATGGCAAGAAAAACAGATTGCTGTCTTTAGAACATGGGAGACACACTAAGGGGTAAATTTTGAGATCTGATGAAGGATTTTTCCATAATTGTTTATTTGTACTGGGTTGGTAACTTGGATGCTTTACTTCTTAGGCCAAAATTGCTATGTAAAAAAGGATAATTTAGCAGATATTTAAATAACAAAGAGAGGTTAGGGGGTGGGGGGGGAAACGGGGATCAATATTACAGTCTGCCCACATATCCTAAGAAACTATAAAATTTGTTAATGTCCCAAATGTACCAATGTTATTAAGAAATAAAACACTGAACAATAGAAACATAAAATATCCTTTTGTTTAATTATTTACATTTCTTTTAATACTATCTAACTTACTGTCTCACAATTGCTAAACTTCAAACTCTAGTTTCTTTTATGGTGTTTTTCATATATTCCAAATATGAGCTTGAAACCACTTTTTGACAATCTTGCTCACTAGCTTAATTTTAAGTTTTGTCTCTAGGGTTACGATAATTGGTGCAAAAAATGTAAATATTACAATACTACCTCTACCTGTTGTTCTTGCAACAGTCTTTCATCATTACCTAACATTCAGAAGTTCTTAACTCAGTATTTATTATCCCATCTGAATGCTTTTGTTATTTAATCAACCAACTGACTTTCTATTATTGTGTAGAAACATTTTTATTTATATAGATCTAGCCTATGTGAACTTCAGCCAATTATTGTTTGAAAGAAAGAGAACATTGATTGTTATTTTTTATACATTCTCTTGGAATGTACAAAATTTATTCAACCTTTCTCCTCTTCTTGGACATATATAGTTGTCTGATTTTTTAGTCTCACACAATTTGCCACCATCACACTGAAAGGGCTAGCACACTTGACAAAGAATTAATGTCATTAATATATAAAGGGAGTTTACAATGCAGTAAGAAAAATATCACCATACCAGTAGATAAATGCATTACTTAATGCAAAAGCAAAATAGACAAAAATAACAGAAAATATAGGATTTTTAAAATGCAAATTAAGACAAAAGATCATTTCTCTTATAAATTGCAAATATTTTAAAGTATGATTTAAAAGGGAGACAGAATTAGATAATACAGATAGAAAGGAAGATAGCCAGATAGGGTACAGTAGAGAGCTTAAGAGCACAGGCTTCAGGCAGTCAGATCTGGATTCCTGATTGTGCAGACAGTTTCCAGCTATTTGGCTTTAGCTGACTTCCCTCAGCCTCAGTTTCCTCATCTGTAAGATGGGAATAATAATAGTACTTAATTTAAAATGTTTTGTGAAGATTAAATAAAATAATGCATAAAAAGTGTGTAACATTTTAACATATATTAAGCTCTCAATAAATTAGCAATTATAATACTACTCAATACAGCAAGTGTACATGGAAACAGGTATCCCGACAGGTTCCTGGTAGGATTAATTGTTACAATTTTTCAGGAATGCAATTTGGCTATGTGTCAAAAGTCTTCCATATGTTCATATTCATTGAACCAATAATCCTACTTTTTTAAATAAGAGATGTGATCAAGGATATAAATCCACACCTATTCTTAAAAATCTCTTTTATATTTTAATAACTAATGTTATACAGAGAGGCACATTGGTCTTGTATAATAAAGCTTCTAAAATTTGCAGAAATAGGGATGTCAATTTATGAAAAGTGAATCATATGCCCTAAATTGTGGAAGAGATACTTTGGGGAAAAATATTTAAGTATTATATGGAATTTTATTCTTCCTACTTATTTTGTACTATGATCCCCCAGCCCCCCAAAAAATATTGGAGGCTGCAAAATTGAGCATGGCTCATTTGTGAGGGTATCTGAAATGAATGAGTGAGCTCACTTATTTCTTAAAAATAACTTATTTTTTTAAAAGATAACTTTTTTATATATATTTACCACTTTGCCTGAGAGGTTGTAGACAAAGAAAATATTGTTCAATTATTCTTGCTCTTGACTAACACAAAATTAAAAAAAATACAGAATTTTTCTTTGGTACAACATTTATAAGAATAAAAAAGTTTTAAAAATATTTTTGTGGCCGAAACCGGTTTGGCTCAGTGGATAGAGCGTCGGCCTGCGGACTGAAGAGTCCCAGGTTCGATTCCGGTCAAGGGCATGTACCTTGGTTGCGGGCATATCCCCAGTAGGAGATGTGCAGGAGGCAGCTGATCGATGTTTCTCTCTCATCGATGTTTCTAACTCTCTATCTCTCTCCCTTCCTCTCTGTAAAAAATCAATAAAATATATTTAAAAAAATATATATTTTTGTGGGTTTTTCTTTTTTGTCTTTCACCTCAAAGGTTGAAAGTGGCTAAACATTCACATGAAATTTAGAGGCTATATTTGAACTGGCATGCTTTAGTCTGTATGCTCCTGCCATACGCAAAACTCACTTAGGGGTCTGGGGACCTAGATACTATGAGATACTGAGACTCAGGAGATACATTATAAGTATTACAGGACATCTACTGTCCCTCTAAGAAGACTACAGTGGCTTCCCAATTAATCCAAAGAGGAAATCACAGAGACAGTCAGGATAGAAGGAGTTAGTTTGTAATCAAAGTGCTACACACAGGTATCACCTTCCACACTGAGAAGCAGCAAAATTTTACTTATATAACTGCCAGAGTCTTCTGAACAACACAAAGTGGGCCAGTTAATGCTTTTATAAAAAACACCAAAATTTTATTGATATTTTTAAATGAGATTGTTTATTCCTACAAACTAATATTACATAGATATGAATAACTAGATCTCCAATTGTATCTTACATTTACCTCTTTGGAATCAAGAGTCTCATGTTCAGGAATAGTCACCATTGGATGACTCAGCTTCACAGAGAAGAGGCCCAAGATATGATGAGGGGTAGAAGTAAGGAGAAATAAATGATTACATTTCATTTAAGTAGATAGTTAAATAATGGCATAAGTATACTGAAGACCATAGTAGATTCTATCAAGTGTAAACATTAAACTTTGATTGTTATTAAAAACAAAGGAAGAGATTCTTAACATAGAAAAAATATTTACAGATGGTGAATTCTTTGAGCACAGGACCACATCCTATTTGTTTTTCTATGCCATATAAACTCTAACAGTGCTGGCATATAGATAGCATAGACAGTTATTAAATGTTTATTGAATTAATGAATTATTAAAACTCGCTGACAGGAATCGTAAAGAGAAAACAAAGTTGTATTTATGTGTCAACTCTCACAATAGGTTCAAATTGAAAAATTCCAAAGCAAAAGAAATAAATCCTGCTCAGACCCACGCTAAAGGCAGATGTATCTATAGATGTAAACGCTACTTGGAATGGAAAGCATTGTGCATTATTGTAAACATGAAAAATGTCAATACTTAGAGACTTCATAACCATTGCAATCTTACCAGATGATGTTATTATAATGTCAAATACAACACTTTAACTGAAGGTAGGTTCTTCTGCTTATATAAGAACTTTGATTATTGTATGTGTCTACTGAGCACGACACATACACTTAAACTTATTAATATACAAGAAAGTTATAGACACACCAGAGAAACAGACAGTCAAGGACACACCAAGGGATGGGGAGAGCAATCATTTGTAATAAATCTACTTATTCCTTTTTTATTTTACCTTCTCTTCTCGCTCCAACTTTAAGGTAACCACACCTGTTTTGACAATAACATTCCCTGTTTCTGCTATTGTCCTGAGAAAATCAGGAAACAATTGCCCCACCTGCACTTTTAATAGAGTCCTTAACTGATCAAAAAATCAATGGAACAGTGACTACCTCCTAATCCGCCAGGGCAATTCAGAGGTTCCCAGAAATTTAGCCTTTGCCCTAGGAGGATGCCAACTTGGCTGCTGGGGAGGCCAAGGAGGTCCCACCACACATTTCCTCAGACTTCCCTCTGTTCTAGCAGATGTTTAAGAATGCAGCCTGCCTTTATTTAAACTATAGCTTCATTAATTCCCAACCATTATACTGTTACCAACCATGAAATCCTCTGGGTAGCATAACATGAGGACTCCTTCTAACTGCCTGAGACCATTGCTTTAAATAGAAGTATAATATGACTCCTGAGCCAACTAGAGATCTAAATAGCATTCCAGAAATCAGCTGAAAGCAACTATTTTCTCCTGTTCATCAGGATCCCCTGAGATTCTAAGCCTGGCATAAGATCAGACCCTATGTACCTCTCCAAACCTCAAATCCAAGTAATTGGTCCTGGAGACAGTAGAATCTTTCGCATACCTAGGCTAAATGGTACAGTAATTACATGAGTTGTCTGATTTTGTAAAATGTCAAGTTTTCATTCTCCTAGTCTCCTAAAATAGGATCGGATAAATATTCTGAAATTTGAAAATACTGGAACACTCCCAATAAAATACTTACTGAGATTAGAAAAGCAGTTGAGTAATTATGCGATATCTATCTTTATATTTTATACTTCTTTTCAATATAGGCATTTATTCATTTAAATTTGTTTCATTTTAATCTTGAATTTCAAAAACTGTGTTAATTATCCTAATCAACAAAAGAGAACAGAAAATGACTGATTCTAATTCATTGATAATCCTCAAATCATTTATATTTGGTTTTGTAATGCTTTTTGCTAAAGATCTTTTGTCACGATAGGTTTGCCTTTTCTTATCCTCAAGCTGACCAAAAACACTAAATAAAAAAGTGATATTATTAATGGATTTAGTCGTAATCACTTATTATGTTCTCACATGGTTAATTCATTATACATATTTGTTTTTATAACAGCCTGAGAGGCAGAACAACGTATTGAAGATCCAGAACTAGCAAACGACACAGTCATAATTAGAATCCAGGGGGACAGTCCCCAGAGACTGTGCTTTCTAGGGGAGTGTGAAGTGGGAGTATGCTACTGGGAAGATACGCAGAAGACGGGAGAAAGGGACACAAGGGAAGGGAGTGATGTGCACCATTGTGCAAAAGAAAAAGCCACATACTAAAGGCAAGAGTGACCCTTTCAGAGATAAAAGCATTTCAGGAGTGGCTGGTCTAGCTCTGAATGGCCAGGTGAGAGACACCATACAATGAAGCTTATATGTTGGGTAAGGAGGCTGGGTTTCATTCTCTAGGCAATGAGAAGCCATTGAAGTACTCTAAGCAAGAAAGGGGAATGTGTGATCAGATCTTCATTTCAAAAAAAGTAAATGATGTGGCTAAAGAGCAAAATATGGATGGCGGAGGTGATTGGGAGATATTTAAAGAGAGAGAGAAAATAAAGAAGGTTTAAATTAAAGTATTGCATTAGAGAATAGACTCAAGTTTTTCTGGGTGAATCTAGGCCCCCCTACTCTCTAGGATGAGTAAAAGTAGACACATTGGTATTTTGTTAATTGGGGCAGAAAAATTGGGAAATGTTGGAGAGAAATAATGTTGAATATTAATATCCCTGCTGAGTGCAGAGATTTTTGTAATGCAAGAGGGCTAGAGATTCTAAGTTGGGATGAAAAGTAAAAACGGTGCAAAACTCCTTCACAGTAAGAACGGACATGATGAACCTAAAACATGAAAATTTTTACATAGGTGAATGTCTTGTTATCTATATAGAGAGAATATAGAGAGAGAGTGGGTGAATACTGAAGGGCAAAGAGTCTTCTATGCCTCTTTACTTGCTGATAAGTATGCTTAAGGACAAATTAATATTTGGTCTCAAGAAAATAAAATAAAAAGTTACTAATTTTTTTATCAAAACATTATTCAACATAGAATTGATTAAATGAAAAGTTCAGATGCAATGAGACAAAACATAATTCTAAATTCAGATATTGAGTAACAGACTAATTAAACCTTTGCTCATTGACCATTGTGGGATCACCAACAAGTGGTATTTGAATAAAATGTTGTTAATTTTTATTACACTTGATCACAGCTGCCACCAAATGAATATAAAACCTTGAGAAGTGTTTGTTACCAGTGTGGGGCTTTCTCCTAAATGTCACTGCTTCTCCAGAGGTAACAGGAACTTTTCTGACAAAGACAGATAAAGTTCACTCAAACCCACTGGAGAAATGAGAAACCTGAAACTAGGAAAAGAGAAAAAATGCAAAATGTGGTTAAATCACTTAATTAAGTCTTTAATCTACCTGAGAAATGGGCTTCTAAGCTCTCCCTTCTGTGCGAAGATCAAGTAAATCTTCTTGTCTGCCAGAAATTATGAAGCTGAAGAAGTGTTTCAAGAAATTTTCACATCTTAAAATCACCCAGGGTGCTACACATGCTGCTCAGAATTCACTTCTTGGGGATTTTTTTTTCTGCTGAAGTGCATCCTCTTTTAAAACTCCTTTACTCCATTTGTCTACATAAGCTGTACCTTCTACTTCGGTCTCCCCACCTAGATTTGTGAACTACTCAAGCTAGAGAGAAACCTTCTTAAGAACATCTCTCAAAGGGGATGTGACAAATTACTGTAGCAATCCCTACATAAAATATTGCATTTCATAACATAAGGTTATCATTATGAAATGTAAGCCATGAGAAGACATGTGGATTCTATGTTATTCATCTTTAGTCTTCTGCTCCTGGCCTGGGGCCACCTCAGCACAGACTAGACACTAAATGAGCATTGATGAATAAAGTAATAAAAGAAAGAATGAATGAAATGGCTAGAGAAAACAGAGGTTTTCTGACTTGCAGAACTAAAGAAGTCTGTATTAGTGAAGAGTCAGGAAGTGTTCACTGTATTCCTGAAAGTCTCCTCATTTAGATGAAACTTTGTAGAGACCTTTGAACCAGAACGGTCACTCATGTGTGTCCTCTTTGACCCTTACAGTTCTTCTGCTTTAAAAATAATTAAATTTTGGCCTGGCCGGCATGGCTCAGTGGTTGAGCATCAACCAATGAACCAAGAAATCACCGTATGGTTCCCGGTCAGGGCACATGGCCTGGTTGTGGGTTGTGGGCTTGATCACCAGGGTGGGGAGTGTAGGAGGCAGCCAATCAATGATTCTCTCTCATCATTGATGTTTCTATCTCTCTCTCCCTCTCCCTTCCTCTCTGAAATCAATATTAAAAAATTGGAATTTTGTTGTCAGTGTTTGAGGTCATAAATTCTACTTGCAAGTTTGTGTTTCTTTCTCTTGAATTGCTCAAAGGTCTCACTGGTCCTGCAATCACCTTGATCTGTGTGGCAGCCTGTCCCTTTTATTTTATTTTTAAAAATATTTTTTATTCATTTCATAGAGGAAGGAAGAGGGAGAGAGAGCTAGAAACATCAATGATGAGAGAGAATCATTGATTGGCTGCCTCTTACATGCCCACACTGGGGATTAAGCCCACAACTGGGGCATGTGTCCTGACTGGGAATCGAACCATGAACTCCTGGTTCATAGCTCAACACTCAACCACTGAATCATGCAGGCCGGGCAGCCTGTCCCTTTTAGATGAAGTTAATGCTTTCTATGTCAACACAACCCCACCATGCCTACTAGGAGGAGGCCAAGTATGAGAGGTCACCTATCATGCTTATACATATACATCTGGCTTACTTCACTTATTTAGGGGCTCTAGCCTAACAAAACATTGAATTTTTTTAAAACCCTTATTTACAACATATACTAGTGCATAGGAAGCACCAAGGAGTCCCATAAATGTCTGATTTGACACAGTAGGTCTGGAGAGTGGTCTAAGAATCTGCATTTCTAATTGGCTCCCAACCGATGCTAATGCTACCATAGGTCGAGCAGTGAGGCCATAACCAACACTTTTGTATAAACTGATACAATTGATGCTTTTCAAATATTCATCTATTCACAACTGAAATGAACGTTCTAATCAATTACATGGGACTGCAGTTGTATAATTAAT